GAGGCTATATGCTCTCAAAGGACTTACTTCCTCCAGAAAGGGTACACCTCCCCAGATAGCACCACCAACTGGGCACCAAATATTTAAATAACTGAGCCTATGGGGGATGTTCTTATGCAAGCCAAAGCACTGACTCCCTGGAGCTTCCTTGTTCCCACTGCAGGCCGTAGAGGAAGAGCTGGGTGTATATCTGGCTTTTCGGCCCAAGGCCTGCATCCCATGTTTTGTGCTTCCGTGTCATGTAGAAAACATTTTTCTGTGTATGGAAGGTATTTTGAACCCTGAGAAAATTCCAAGGGACAGAGAAATTTTCTCCTTTAATGGTGAAAGAATGGATTTCCATAGATAACAGTTGGTTCATGAGCTATCATCAGGCCAGAAGTGTTATCCTCCTCTGCTGACAGAGCTGTGACGGGATCAATAAAGATGGTCTACCCACACTCATCACACATGGTCTAAGGGTCTTCAGAGATCAATTCTGAATCCGATAATATAGAAGAAGAAAATCTACTATGGATGTCTTACCTTACGGAATAACAAATGAAGCTTCTTGAGGGAAGAGCATTTCCCCTTTTCTATCTTCTTCCTGTCCTGAGCATATATGTGCTGGCTGGCATCTTACCAGTCATATTGTGATTCTGTAACAAAATATAAAGCTAAAACCATGTCTGTAAGGAGCTGGACTGTTAAGAAGGAAGGGATTTAGATGATTAATCAGCTGGTGAACCTACCCCCCAAGGAAAGGTTCTATTGGAATATACTACCTTCTATCATTATTGAAGCATGCACTTTGTATTACTTGGGACTTTGTTATTGTTTGTGCCTTTAACACAATGGACAAGGAACCAAAACTCAGGTTCAAACTGAGGTCTCCACATCTTACTGTTATGGGCTGAACTGTGTCTTCCCGACAGATATGTTGAAACTTTAACCTCTAATACCTGCAAATGTGACTTTATTTGGAGAAAAAAAAAAAAAACTGTGTGGATGTAATCAGGTGACGATGAGGCCAAACTGCAGTAGCGAGAGACCAATGGCTGCTGGCCTGGTAAGGGCAGATTTATAGGCATGGGACAGCACAGGCGAATTTGAAAATGAAGGCAGAGGATGGCTCTCTGCTGCCACAAACTAAGGAATGCAAAGGATCGGTGGAAAATGCCAGAAACTAGGAGAGTTCAGGAATCATACTTTCCCGAGGCTTTGGATGGAGCATGGCTGGCTAACATGTCTAGTTTTGCCTTTTAGCTTTCTAAACTGTGAGTGAATAAATCTTGTTGCTTTCAGCTGCCTGGTTTGTATAATCTGTTCCTTGAGAGCTAGGAAGCTCTCATGAGTTGAAGCCTGGCACCCTCTCCATTTGTTCATGTGTGTCCACTGCTTTGCCTGTCCCCAGATGCCAGGTGCTGGATCACAGTGAATTTCCTCTTTATGTTAACTGCTTTAACTTTGAAAATCTTGGAACCAGAAAGAAAACCTAAGTGACCTGTACTTCTTCTTTGGTCCTCTTCTGATCAGCCTTCTAGGACGAGGCTCAATAGTTTGGATGTGACATGTGCTTTGTGCCCTAATGCCCTGGGGAATGACAGTGATGCCCTTTGCTGCGAAGACAGCAAACTTTGATACTAGACAAGATTTCATGTTGTAATGTCACCCTGAGATGGAACTGACTGGATTTTCCAGTGGACTGGGTCCAAGTAGTATTTAGAATCTTGTTCTCAAATATGCCTAGTAGACCAGATAGCCAAATTCTACTGTTTGCCTCTTCCCAACTTGGAAAGCATGCCAGTGGCACAGAATGCAACCATTTCACCTTGACCTCCAGGACAGCTTCAATGTAATCATTATATTCAACCTGTATACAGGTTGACTGTGTCTGGTTCTATGTTGTTTGTATGGTTTCATTTGGTTCCGGCATCAGTTATTTTGAAGAAGAACTGATTTTTATTTTGGAACTCACTTTTAGGACAGAAATAAATGTTAACAGGAGTCAGAAGAGGGGCGTGTCTCCTAGGTGATTTCAAATCATCACATTCCCTTAGGACAGAATCTGCTTTATTCTTTCAACAACAAACCCTTCTCCATGTTGCTCTATTATTACAGTCTAAGATGAAAAAAGGATTTTCAGTCCAGCACATGTGCCTACCAGGGAATCACAGTGGTTCATTTTCCTCTATGTAAGGGGCATGCTGCTGTAAGACCGCCCTCACTGTGGACAGTGGACATTGGCATTCATCTCTTGAGGTTTCCAGCTTGTTCCTGAGGGCTGAGCTGCAGGATATGGGGTATGGTCTTGATGGATGTTCCACTTTACTTTTGAAGTTAAATTCTTGGCCTTTGAGTAATGCATTTTCTAAGGTCCCCTTAACACACTACCAAGATCTGAATGGCTTAAGCAGCAGCGAGGGAGGGTGTTCTATTTCTAGAGGCTGGAGTATCAAGGTATGGTGAGGCCTGGCTCCTTCTGAGGCTGGAGGGAGAATCAGTTGCCGGCCTCCCTCTGACTCTGATGGTTACTGGCAGTCTAGGTCATTCTGTGACCTATGGCAGCATAGTTCCCATCTTCACATGGTACTGTCCTCATGTCTAAATTTCCCATTATATAAGTACATCAGTCTTGTTATATCAGAGAGCTACCTTACTGTAGGGTGGTGTCCTGTTAATCAATTACAGATAAGATCACCCAATTTCCAAATGAAGTCACCTTCTGAGATAGTGGGGTTAGGATTTAAACACAGGATTATTTTTTCCCTGTGTGTAACAACCCACAGCTCTTACTAAATGCTTACTTTTGGTTTCTTCCTTCCACTGATGTATTTCTTACTACTTGGTCATCCAGTACAAACAAATAAAAGCAAGAATTGCTTCAAAGTAGAAGTGCAAATAAGAGACACAGGACACATAGCTGCATGCTATGGCTACTATTTCATACTTGATTGGATTTACAGTGGTGTAAACTGCTTTAGGTAACAGATCAGACAGTTTTAAAGTATACAAATAAATTAATCATTTTGGGCTGTATCCCATTCCCAGTTCTACTCACGAAGAAAGTCCTTTGTGGTCTCTGTATGTTCTGGCTTAGTGTTTATTTCCTTGCCACTGACTCCAGGCATGTTTAAGTTTTTTGAATGCATTTATCCCCAATCCCTCCTTTTTTGAGAGGTATTTAGTTTTCTGGTCGGTACATGTAGGTTCCCGTTAGTGCCTCTGTAGAATACTGTGGTGGGGCTGGGAGGTGGTCTGCCTAGTCATTCCTTTGTGAAGGAGTGCTTAGGGTATATCCACATTCTTTTGTGCTTTCTATGTAAATCAGTGTTGTAAGAATTTCTCCATATTAGGCTGGGGAGGCAGCTCAGGGGTAGAAGGCTTGAATAGCATGGATGGAACCCTGGGTTCAGTCTACAAGGACTGTAAAGAGAATTTGCAACACTGTGTAAATAGAACCGTTACTGCAATCAAGATGATGGCTATTGCATCACATATAAAATCATTGAGTTAGACAAAGATTTTATGGAATAATGACAAAGACACAATCAATAATGAGTTGGACTGCACCCAAATTTTAAAAACTTGTGCTTTTTAAAGGATACTGATGAGAGAATACAAAGACAAGAGAGAAAACATTTGTATGTTATGTGTACGATAAAGGACTTGGAACCTGGATATATAAGGAAAAAATTGTCAGGACTTAATAGGGTAGAATATCTCCATTAAAATGGGCATACCGTTTGCACAAAGAAGCCATGTGGTTGGCAGATAAGCACATGAAAAGGTGAATACCATTAATCACTGGGGAAATGAAAATGAAGGCCACATGGAGGTATTGGCATACGACACTGGAATGGCTAAAATTATAAAGGCTTTACCAGGATCAGAGAGATGGATCGGCAGGTAAAGGTGTATGACGCCAACCTTGACGACCTGAGTTATGTCCTGAAAGCCCACATGATGCAAGGAGAAGACTGTCACCTGCAAGCTGTCTTCTGTCCTCCACCTGTGATGTGCATTCCCTCTGCTCCCCACAGCATAAGTAAATAAAATGCAAAACAAACACATAAGCCTGAAGCCAAGTACAGATGAGGAAGTGGAGGAGCTGGAACGCCCAGGCACTAGGACGTCTGTGAGTAACAGTGTGTCCGTGTCTTGATTGCAGTGGTGGCTTTCCTGGGTTTGTACATGACTCCAGCTGTATCTAACAGCATGGTTTATTTTAGGGTAACTACACCTATAAAAATCTCTGAAAAGATGTGTATGTGTGTGTAAGTGTGCGTGCGTGTATGTAAGTGTATATGCAAGGCCTTGTGCTAGCAATGGAAGGAGAGTTAGCAATGCATTCTCCATTTGCCCTCAACCCTGAATCTAAGAATTCTGTCTAGTTTCCATTTTCTTTTCAGTAGAAATTTGGACTCTAGCCCAAACCTAAACAATGAACTCTGTTTGTTTTGTTTTGTTTTCATGTAGTTCTCTACATTGAAAATGTTTCTTCACTTAGTTATTGAAATGGCTTTTTAGCTTCCTTTTCTTTCTTTCTTTCTTTTTTGGCAAAGACTTATTCTGTAGCCCAAGATCGCCAACCCTTTAGTGCTATAGCTTCTCAATCCCCCGCTCTCCCTTTCCACCCCAAGTGCTGGGATTATAGGCATGTGCCACCATGCTGGGACTAGATCCATTCTTGTTTAACCTAAAAATCTTAGGGTAAAATCTGTGGTTGAACAAAAACTCCAGATCAAGGTGGAAAGTTAACTCTGGAGCCTTACTAATTCCCCTTTCTTCATGGCCCTGATTCTCATTCAAGCTCCATGCGCATGTGTTTGGCACTCCTCCTCACATATTTGGTTTCCCCAGCTGGCTCAGTCCTCAGGGGCATTTTAAAGCCCTGTGTCCCAATGCCCAGCTCCAGGCCTGTTGTTTGTAGAGAGTACTGCTGGTGAAAGGGTAACCTGCTTTCGCCCTGTGGTACTCTGGGCCATCATCTCCTGGTTACTTTCTCTCTCTCTCTCTCTCTCTCTCTCTCTCTCTCAGGATTGAAAGCACATAGGGAATGCATCAACAAAATCATGAGTGATTTTGGATTTTAATTTGTGAATCAAAGTAATATGCCTAGCAGATGGGAGGGCTGGGTTCCGGGAGAAACAACTCACGAGCATGGCAACTGAAGTATGTAGACGGAATGGGACAACTGGACTGGCAACCATCGACCCACAGAGAAAAGCAGCCGAACAAATGCCTTTAAGCGAAATGTTTAGAAATGATCCTCTCGAGGAGGAAGATTTGAGGCATGGCACTCATTCTCTTTTACACTTAAGACAGTAAGACTCTGAGAAATATGTAAAGAGGCCATGAGGCAGATTGTCCAATCTGGGGCCATGGTAACAACAGAGACACTGTGTTTAATGAACTGAAAGAGGGACAAAGCTAGGAGTCTGCTGCAGAGCTGTATGTAGAATGGTAGGTGTTTGCTCTTAACTATTTTCCCTTTGGAGTGCAGTAAAGCATCAGTCTTCCACCACGTGGGCTGCAGGAGCTGGCTCAGGCTGTCAGGCTTGGGTGCAAACATTTTTACCTGCTGAGGCCTCGGCCAAAGCCTTTTCAATGAGTTGGATTGAGAAGGATGGAAGATGGGTAAGAAGGCCAGGAAGCGGGAACAAAGGCAAGTCCAGAAGCTGAAGGCTGTGCACCCACTGACAGGAAGAAAGAGAAAGACCACACATCACCTGGCATCGAGTCCGGAACACATATAAGCTCAGAGTGAGAAGTCACGAGGTAAGTGTGAGTCTCCTCTGTTCGTATGTCAAGCACAGCCATCCTAACTGTCACCTGCTCAGGGGCTAAACGCTTGTCGCTCTACCTGGCTGTTCTGGAGCGACATTGCCTTTCGTGTAAAGATTCTAGGGACTGACTGATAGCATAAGCAACCCTGAAAGCCACAGTTTGAGACAAATGTGAAATGGTGAGAACTGTTCATGGTCACAGACCATTGACCGTGGGAGGGTGGTGGGGTTTAGAATAGGGTACCCAGGCCTGCGCACCTTGCCTGCTTACTTACTGGGGTTTGCCTCAGAGCCTCTGCTTTGTGTTTGTATGTATTTTTTCTCAACCTCAAAATGGGGATAATGACATTTAGGTCTTGGCTGTTAGCTGAAGTAAACGATCTATGAAGAGCCTTGCACAGTCTCTACTACACCACTGGGGTCAGTAAATTCTAATTTAGCTCCAAGGGTAAACACAGAATAGAAATATACAACTTTAGAATCGAGCAGAGAATAGAGATTTGGTGTTTCCCATGGGTTCAGGTTTAGCAAGTTGATCATGTGGTCTTGCTACAAAGGAGTCCAGAATTTGAACCGGTTTGGGAAGCCATCTGCGAAACAAACTGGGTCTGGTCACGTATGACAGGACTTTTCACAGTCTTAGAGGCCAATGCTGTATTTGTTTCCAAAAGAGAGGTGATAGCCCCCGATCCTTAACAGTGGAAACTTCCACAGCCCTGGGAGCCGCAGTGCAGAACTCCTTAAGTCTAACAACATGTGGACCTGAGGTTTGGCTCCAGCCTGCAGAAATGCTGCCTTTGGCTCTTTCAGAATATATAAAATTTTTTTTACAAATTAGTTTCTGGAGTTGAAAAATTACAGGAATTTATAAGGCAAGTTGGACTTTTTGATTCTCTTAAAAATATGAGGGTCAGTGGCAGGGCTTGTATTTCCTTCTGGTAGGCGCGTATGGAGCCGCCAGCTTGTCCCAGGCTGCGTTGGTGTGTTTCATTAAGTTATGCAGCCTGGTGGTCCTTGTAGGTTCCCGAGTCCTGATGCAGTTCAACTCCTTCACTTTACGACATGAAACATGAACTTCGGACTCACTTGGATTGAAGCCAGGACCAGACCGCTTGGTCTTGAGTGAACAAAGTGGGAATTAAGATGGCTTGCTAATCTGGGTAACTTGGGTAGTCTCTTCCTCTATGGGATGTGTGTTCTAGAGTTCGTGAGACAGGAAGAAGGACACCCACTAGCCCTCTTCTCCTGGGAAAGCACTGCATAGAGCTGGAAGTACATCTACTCATCCAATTTCCTAAGCCAAAGCCTACATAGGGTTTTACAGGCAGAAGTAAGTAGCTACTTTTCTCTCTCTCTCTCTCTGTATTCCTGGCTGTCCTGGACTCTGTTTGTGGACCAAGTTGGTCTTGAACTCACAGAGACCCACCTGCCCCTGCCTCCCCAAGCGCTGGGATTGCAGGCGTGCACCACTGCGCCTGGCAATAAGTGGCTACTTTTAGCTGTACAAAAGACCACTTTTCTTCTCTCTACAGCTCCAGGCAGCTGAGCTGTTACAGTCATGGCGTTGGCTCATTTTGGCGGGTGCCAAACAGTGGAAGAGGGGTATTTTTAGGAAGGGGAAATCTGAAGGTGAGTGGGTGGCTTTTTACTTTGTGGGCTTCAGCATGTGCATTATTATCCTGTGCAGAACCAGCCAAATGCTGTTTCAGAAGACCCCAAATGGAAGGCATCCTCAAGGTGTCCACTCCTTTATATTCAGAGAGCACCTTCTTTCATTGAAAAGATGTTCACTAGAACCTTGCAGACATTTTCTGGATGCCCTGGGAGGCTCCTTGCTTCTGTTTTGACTGACCCTCCCCACTGGCCATTGCTGTGATAGTTTAGAGTCTATCTGAAGCAGCAAACAAAGTACCTGAGTACTCATACTCCCACGGTGGTATGAGTGCCTCCTGCCCTCAATCCATCTTCTTGTCTTACAGATACATCTTTCTTGGTTCTGGAAATTTCCATGATCTGTTTGAGATGAATAAATCGTCTAATCATAGCTTTGAAGTAGTTATCTGTTCCTCTTTTACTTCTTTCCTGTCTATTAAAATATAAACTTTATTAACTTTTCTTAAGTGATTGCACATGACAATCACAGTCAAAACTCTCTATCATCTTTCTATATGTCTGCCTACCTGGACTTCTAATTTAGATACTTTTTTATTGCTGTGGTAAAATACCATGAAAAAAAGCTCAACCATATTTGTAGCAGCTTTATTTGTAATAGCCAGAAGCTGAAAACAACCCAGATGCCTCTTAATTGAGGAATGGATACAGAAATTGTGGTACATCTCTACAATGGAATATTACTCAGCAATAAAAAACAAGGACATCATGAAATTTGCAGGTAAATGGTGGGAACTAGAAAAGATTATCCTGAGTGAGGTATCCCAGAAGCAGAAGGACACACAGGGCATATACTCACTCATAAGTGGATATTAGACATATAATATAGGATAAACATACTGAAATCTGCACACCTAAAGAAACTAATCAAGAAGGAGGACTCTGGCTAAGATGCTCAATCCCCATTCAGAAAGGCAAAGAGGATGGACATCAGAAGAGGGAAATAAAGGGAACAGGACAGGAACCTACCACAGAGGGCCTCTGAAAGGCTCTACCCTGCAGGGTATCAAAGCAGATGCTGAGACTCATAGTCAAACTTTGGGCAGAGTGCAGGGAATCTTATGAAAGAAGTGGGAAATAGTATGACCTGGAGAGGACAGGAACTCCACAAGGAGAGCAACAGATCTGAAAAATCTGGGCACAGGGGTTTTTTCTGAGACTAATACTCCAACCAAGGACCACTCATGGAGATAACCTAGAACCCCTGCACAGATGTAGCCCATGGCAGTTCAGTGTCCAAGTGGGTTCTATAGTAATGGGAACAGGGACTATCTCTGATACAAACTGATTGGCCTGTTCTTTGATCACCTCCCCCAGAGGGGGGAGCAGCCTTACCAGGCTACAGAGGAAGACAATGAATGCAGCCACTCCTGATGAGACCTGATAGACTAGGATCAGAAGAAAGGGGAGGAGGACCTCCCCTATCAGTGGACTGGGGGTGGGAAAGGGAGAGGGAGGATGGAATTGGGAGGGGAGAAGGGAGAGAGCTACAGAGGGATACAAAGTGAATAAACTGTAATTAATAAAAATTAAAAGAAAAAGAAGCATGTGGACCAAAAAGAAAAAAGAGTTGATTTTGACCTACAGTTCCAGAGAGTTTGGAACCTACCCAAATGGTAGGAAATGCATTGTGGCTGAAGCAGGAAGCCAAGAAATCACATTTCACCTACACACAGGTGGCAGAGAGAGAAAACAGGAAGTAGGGCAGGGCTATATACTGTCAAAGTCCATCTCCAGTGACACACCTCCTCTAGCAATGCTCCACATCCTAAAGATTTCATAACCTCCCACACAGCGCCACCAACCTGGGCCCAACTGTTCAAATACATGAGCCTGTGCTGTGCGGGGCATCTTTCATTCAAACTACAATATCATCTATCTGTATTATTGTGTCTATTTTTCCATAGGGGCTTTAAAAACTGGAAAGTCTTCTGAAATATTTTATATCCAAGATTCTTGTTGCAAGAACAAAATAAAAGGGTGGGATTATCTAGAGAATGCAAAGTCCTAGCTAATGTACAAATCCAAACTACAAATGTGCATTATATCCCCATAGAGTTCTGAGAAGGTTAACTTTGGATTAATACGGGGAAACCCCACTTTTTAATACATTTGAGTTAAAGATAAAAATGCCATTAAAGCAAGATGAGAATTAAATTCCTCAAACACCAGTCACGTAACGAAAGCAGGGATTTAGTCACATTTGAAAACTTAAAGTTGTAATTAAAATTATGGACGGGGCTGACCGCTTTGGTCTCTGTCCTGGTAGCTCAAGTGAGATAAACAAGAAGAGTTATTTAGTCTTACTACATAGTATGTGAGTGCAGGTCAGCTCACAGAGAGCCTCATTTTAGATGGAATGCATGTATCATGAGGTTCTTTTTCCCTTTTCTCTGTGTGTATGGTGTGTATGTCTCATCCAGGGATTATATTGGATTTAGAGCTTCACACATATGATGCTATATCCCCAGTGTGGGAGCTGGTTCTCTGGAGGAGATGGTATTCCTCAGATATGGGTGATGGTGCTGGTTGTAGCTTTTTACCAACGTTGTCCCTAGGATCTGAAAACAAACAATTCCAAAGAAGCCCCGAGAGGCTTATGTGGAAGTTGATGTGACATCTGGTTTTGTTTTTGTTTGTTAGTTTATTCCTGCCCAGCTTCTCGCTCAATCTTTGTGGAACAGCACCCTGATTGCTCAGCTTTGTCTAGCTTTCTCTTACTCCAATCTGGAGACTGTTTAGCGTGTGTTGGGGGAGGGCTGTCTCCTCATTAACATGCAGGTTTTTTTTGGCTGTTGGTCAGTGGGAGCCCCAAACTAGATTAATCCCTGGAATTGGAATCTTTAGTGCAACGACACAGAAGTTGAAAGGAGTCCAGTTGCTCATCCTGAGGCCAGGGATCTTGGTAAGTGAGTGACAGCTGGTGTCGTAGCTCATAACCACAAAGCTCTGATGGACGCACAGGTAGAGCTTTTCCTTGAACATCAGTGGTTAGTTTTCGTCTCCTTTCCTAGAAAGCTGCACACGGAGCTGGGCATGCCTGCGGGGAAGAGCAAAGGGGTGATACATTCTTCCTAGCTGCATGTCCTTACTTTGTTAAGTAACTGAAGAAACATAATTCTAAGTCTGCCATATTTCTGGCCTGTAGCTTCCCTGGTCTGCTATATCACTGGAAGAAGATTTCCATCCATGTTTATCAGGGTGTGGGCCTGTTTTTGGCATCTGCTATAAATCTTAAGGTTATTATAACTTGGCTGTGCTCCCATCTTCCTGCCAAATCTCTGTGCTGAAAAAGCAGGGTGTCACTACTGTAAGGGAATG